GTTAACCAAACAGAATTTCTGTAAAATACTACCTTCCTACATTACTTTATCTTCTTTACGGATATGTTAACCAAACAGAATTTCTGTAAAATACTACCTTCCTACATTACTTTATCTTCTTTACGGATATGTTAACCAAACAGAATTTCTGTAAAATACTACCTTCCTACATTACTTTATCTTCTTTACGGATATGTTAACCAAACAGAATTTCTGTAAAATACTACCTTCCTACATTACTTTATCTTCTAAACAGAGGAATATCACTTGTAGGAGATATTAATCAACTGTAAACAGAATAATATCACTTGTAGGAGAAATTCATCAACTGTAAACAGAGGAATATCACTTGTAGGAGGTATTCATCAACTTTAAACAGAGGAATATCACTTGTAGTAGGTATTCATCAACTGTAAACAAGAGCTGATGGAACTAAAACTTAGTGGCAAATATTCCATGCACAGATCATGTTATTCACACATTCAGTTCCAAAAATTGTGAATGCTTTTGATAGCAGATTTTCAGGCACCAGTGATGATATTTTCCATGCATCTAGTATCTTCGACTCATCCAATCGGCCTGTGGATGTAGAAGCATTTAGGGTTTGTGGTCAAGAACAACTTACCACACATTTCATACAGGTCTTGGAAATGAGAAATTATGATGTCATGGTTTGTCCATGTGTGGAAGAATTACATGAAACATCTGGTGGAGAACATGGCAACACTGTCGGCTACATAAGTTTGTGGTAAAGGATTCTCAGCAATGTTGAGGACAGATGGCCAAGTATACTCCTCATTGTGAAGTTGATTTTTATAGTCCTACTAATCAGTACTGCAGAATATGAATGTTTATTCAGGCTAATGAAAAGAATAAAATCTAACTGGGGATCCAAACTGAAACTAACCACAGTATGCAGTTTTATGCATATCCAGTTATTGGATTACACAGTAGTTGAGTGCAACGCTCACTCTGCCATGAAAAAGGTGGCTTTCATCTAGGAAGCAAGATAGGCAACCAAGTGTAAGGCCATATGGGCTTTGGAAGAAATTCAAGAGAACCCCAACTTCAAGTAAGTCTATAGAAGACCTGTCTGTCCAAGAGTTTGGAGATGACCCCACTTTATCTGCTGATGATCCCACCTCACCTGACTTGGCATATGAAACAGCTTAGGCTTCGGATTTAGAGACAATGCATAATATGAACTTTTGATCCAAGGCTACATTACAGGTAGAACAGTGAATATCATTTGTTGCTTCTGTCATTCTTGGTTTTCCATACAGTTTGATTTCTTCTGATTAATTGTTCAATGTTGTTTTATAAATTATTAAATATCAATTCCTTTACTGGAAATCTTGCAATTCTCTTAAAATATGGTACAAAGTAAGTTACTTCTAGAATATTTTGGGTAAGCTGAATCTACTATGGGCAAGTCAGTTATTATTGTTTGTTTGCTCTTTGGGCAAGTGAAAATTTTAAATTATTCCAACTCCTGTTAATATGTTAACATTGTTTAAATATCTGATGGTGAAATATCTATGGAATAAAAAATATTAGAATTTGGTAGAGTAAATTTATATGTAAAATATTAGAATCTGTAAGAGTAAGTTTGATTGAATGTAAAATATTAGAATCTGTAAGAGTAAGTTTGATTGAATGTAAAATATTAGAATCTGTAAGAGTAAGTTTGATTGAATGTAAAATATTAGAATCTGGTAGAGTAAATTTATATATAAAATATTAGAATCTGTAAGAGTAAGTTTGATTGAATGTAAAATATTAGAATCTGTAAGAGTAAGTTTGAATGTAAAATATTAGGATCTGGTAGAGTAAGTTTGAATGTAAAATATTAGGATCTGGTAGAGTAAGTTTGAATGTAAAATATTAGGATCTGGTAGAGTAAGTTTGAATGTAAAATATTGGGATCTGGTAGAGTAAGTTTGAATGTAAAATATTAGGATCTGGTAGAGTAAGTTTGATTGACAGTACATGTTTCTACTTCATGTTGTCATTTTTATACAAGTTTATATAAACATGGTAGCTTTATACTTGATTATATTTTTTTTCCCCACTGGCAAATTGTTAAGTTTTACTTCTGGTGTGTTCTTGTGGATTTATTGCTGGCTTCTTTTCTGGGTTTTTTTCATTGCTATTCTCTTATAAAAAATGATTTTTGACATTTGTCGGGGACTTCTTCTTGGCTTCTTTATTGTATTGCTCCAAGACTTCTTTTCTAAAGTTTTTTTTTTTCAAGGATTTTTACCAGCCTTCTCTTCTGATATTTTATCCTGGAATTTCTTCTGAGATTTTTGTATAACACACGTTCTTCTGGAGTCTCTTGGTGGTTCATTTTCTGCTACTTCCAAAATTCTTTGAGGTTTATTCCTTTTTATTTGGGACTTTGTATTTATTCTATTGGGATATCTCTTTGGATTTCCTTCTGGAATTATTTCTCTTGATGGCCTTGGATTTCTTTATGGCTTTTTCTTTTGTGATGCTTCTCCTGTGTTCTTCTGAATTTTATTTTATTTTGGCTTCTTTCCTTGTCTATTTTAGTGACCTTCTCTCATAATTTCTTCCTGATTTTTTTTTCTGAGATTCTTTTCTTGCTGTTTTTTCAATATCCTTTTTTTTCTATTCATTCTTCAGAAATACTTCTTTCTGAGATTTTTTTATTGTTCTATGTTTTTTTTCCTGGCTTCTCTTATCCAGTTTCTTGCTGATATTCTCCTTGGTTTTCTCCCATGTTTTTTTTTTAATATTTTTTATAGGATTTCATATTTTATTTTTGTTATTTCTCCTTGGAATTTTCTTAAGATCTCCTTTATTTTCTTTTGAGATTTTTACCAAATGCTGTGGCTTTCTGGTTTGTATTTTTCTTCTTTATGTAATACACTACTGTGAAGGCTCATTGAATTCTTTCTTGGGACATCTTACAGGCACTTTCATATTTCTCCTAATGTTTATTTATGTTATTTTGATTTCAGATAGAGCACAGCTCTCATTAGTTAATAAATTTCCATGGAACTGCATCTAATGCCAAGACATGATTGATGATTGTTATCATAAAGTCTGTGTTAGTTTTAAAACTGAATGTGTTGTTGTCATATGTTCTATCATTGGATGGGCTGTTTGAGATTATCTGGTGAATATAATGTGATATACAGCCCATTTAAAAATAATAAATTAGTTTATTTCTTCAGTAATGTTTGTTCACTTATAAGTAGTAGGCCTAATTTCATAAAGAATCAGCCTATCTTTTAAAATTTAATTCATATTGTTTCTATAAATCAAATGTCAAATGATCCATAAAGTTGATCAAATCTTGTATGGGTTGAAGATGCATTCCATTTATGTTCATACATGTTTTTTTTTCTAACATTTTCAATGATTTAACTTACTATTATAATTTCTTTGATTCTATTTTATGCACTTTACTACTATGTTTATTAAGATTTTATATTACTCGTGATGTCAGGAAATGGGGTAATGGAATACAGTCACACCGATTACTTTTCATGTGGAAAATTTTGATTATGTTATAATAGGACAATTATGTCTGTTTTTTTGTTAACGTGGTATGAAACCATGAGTAATTATTCAACATCAGCTCAAAAAATGTGACTGAGTTGGTAAAATTTCCTCACTTTATTTGGAAAATAATTCTTAGTGATATTTGTATGGTATTTTGAGATGTTTTTAACATATCAACATATATATATGTGTATTCACTTTGATGAGAAGAAAGACCATACGTATAATATACACACACACACACAGATGGATCTTGGTCTTATTATATCTATGTTTACGTGTCCATGTTTATTGATGAGGGACAGAATTCCCCAAACTGTTGTAACTTATTGACAAGCAGTAAACTGAATGATAGATTAGGCTTAAACTTTATTTATAGTATTTGAATTCTTATTACTATTTTCTTATTCTTTGGCCATGTTCTCAAACAAAAGTATGTACTGTTTAGAGGCTATGCTTGTGAACCTAATTAGGTTCATTACTGAAAGTGTTAGATTTTTAATGATAATGTTACATACCTACTGTTTTTCAGGTTGATTCCAAGGTTACACTAGGGTTTAGTGGAGTCCTGATTGTACTACTATCAGTGACATCTTCTCTTGGCATCTTCAGCTATGCTGGTGTTCCAGCAACCCTCCTCATTATTGAAGTTATTCCATTCCTTGTTCTAGCAGTTGGGGTTGATAATATTTTCATCTTTGTCCAGGCTTATCATGTAAGTTATTATTTCTATAATATTTGCATGCAAGTTAATTAGCTTCTGACACGAGAAATACTTCCCAAAGTTTATTAACAATAGTGTTCCTATTACTGGCTACTGTTACTAAAGTCAATAATATCATTATACTTGACTGCTATAAAAAACGTTTATTACAGTAACATCCCCATTGTGACCAATTATTGTTACAAAAGTTCATTAACAATAATATAAGACCAAGGATGGGATGTCTGTCTTGTTGTTTTCGGGGTTGCAGACCTAGGATGGGGATGTATATCATGTACAGGTGGTAATTAATGACCTTTACTTAAGGGGTGGAGGACTAGTTACTGATATTAAAATGACAAGGTTAGGAACCTGATAGGACAGTTGGTTATATCATGTACAGGTGGTAATTAATGATTTTTACTTAAGGAGTGGACTAGTTAGTGATATTAAAATAACAAGGTTAGGAACCTGATAGGACAGTTGGTTATATTGTGTAATTAATGACCATTACTTAAGAAAGGGGAGACTTGTTAGTGATATTAAAATAACAAGGTTAGGAACCTGATAGGGCAGTTGGTTATATCATGTACAGGTGGTAATTAATGACCTTTACTTAAGGGGTGGAGGACTAGTTAGTGATATTAAAATGACAAGGTTAGGAACCTGATAAGATAGTTGGTTATATCATGTACAGGTAGTAATTAATGACATTTATGTAGGGGGGGGGGAGCTAGTTAATGATACTAAAAACTTCATTTAATATCTGTAAAGAAGATAAAGTAATGTAGGAAGGTAGTATTTTACAGAAATTCTGTTTGGTTAACATATCCGTAAAGAAGATAAAGTAATGTAGGAAGGTAGTATTTTCCAGAAATTCTGTTTGGTTAACATATCCTTAACAGTTGATGAATACCTCCTACAAGTGATATTCCTCTGTTTACAGTTGATGAATACCTCCTACAAGTGATATTCCTCTGTTTACAGTTGATGAATACCTCCTACAAGTGATATTCCTCTGTTTAC